TACTATTACGAAATTCCGTAGAGAAAGACTTTCCGACAACGGTTAACAATATATCGCTGCGTTGGTACTCGTAGATGAAAAATTCGACATATGTACAGAGGGAACTCTTCTTCAACCTAATATTTTAGCAGCACAATGGCCTCCATTTTAGAGCCTCTTGCGCCTCTGAAAATTCACTTTAAACAATATCAGTCGGACCGTCGTGTTACACAGCTCTCTCGGGACAGTGGGAATTTCTGCTGTCTAGTCGGAAAGGGCATCCATTTTTTCGCACCACGTGTTCTCTCACGACCCTAAGATTTTGCAAATGGGGCGGAATCTACTATTTTCGGGAGATATTCAAATCCGATCAGTTAAATCTTGAAGAAAACTAGTTTTCGTAAATCGCCCTCATCGTGCTTACCGTGCGATGGGCGCACACGCGACGAACTGCGGCGCGGCGTGGAGTGGCGGCCCAGCGGCGCACGAACTGTGTCATCGATTCACCATTCGACATTCACAACCAGTCAACCCAAGCATTGACCTCCATTTCTTCCCCTCTCCCCTCGCAACTGCCAAACCTTAAGGCTCCCGCACTTCCCGATGCGTTAATCCCTGAGGCTCCGCTAGCACAAAGCCCAAAAATTTCGGGGTCTAGTGGGCCGCTGAGGGGTCCATGAAACCCGGGGGGTCCATGAATGAAATAACGTCAGGATCCCGAGGAGCACTGAAAAAAAAAATTCTCGGCGTTTTTACCAAGGTCCGTTGGTACCTTTACCATCTCACTTTTTTTACTAAATATTGGTAATTTTACCAAGACAGACTGGTAAGCTTACCTGAAAACCGGTATTTTTACCGTTTTTTTTCAGGTAAGAATACCACTTTTATTGGTAATCAATTCCCGGTAACTTTGCCATTTTATCTCGGTAATTCTACCACAGTCGATAAAAAATATTGGCGTTTTTACCAAGGTCCAGTAAAATTACCGAGAAAGTTCAATAATTTTACCGAGATTTCTCGGTAAAATTACCAATTCCATAAATGGTAATTTTACCAAGGAAAAACTGGGATCAAAATAATAGAACCCTGAATTCTTGGTACTTTTACCCTTTTCTTAGTAAATACACCGAGATTTTTTTTTTCAGTGAGGAGGCCAAGATGTGTCTGACATGTACCTTGTACCTGACGCTGAGGTGAGGGGAGACGAATTGAACTTGACACCAGGTTCATTCCTTTCATCCCTTGAAAATACTAAATCTTTTAGTTCGAGTTTCTTTCCTTTAGAATCTAGAAGCCTACACCGCGCACTATACTGCTCTGCTAAGGAAGGATGCCGTATGAACCTTCAGGCGTAGCCAAATTTCCCCTGATAAAATACGAATTTCTTGGGGAAATTGTAAATACTTTTTTTCCAATTTTGCAGACTATTTTGTTCGCAATTTAATCTAAAATATCTGAAAATTTCAAAGACAAATATGCATTAATTTCGTCAAAAGTGCATGTTTTATCTGGAAAAATCTGGCAACTCTCGAATGTTCATACGGCGTTCTTCCTTAGCGCGGCAGTATATTTGGACGAATTTATGCTATAAGGAACTATGTCGCACGCAAACCCTATGCACATAGTTCCTTTTAGCATTAATACGTCCACTTGAGGAGTGGTGTGACGCAACCTGATATGCATGTAGCGCCAAGACCTGAACTGGTATATATTCGCGCATCTGCTCGGACAATCATAGCCACTAATGGAGAATTTTGCATATGAAAATTTTATTGCTTCATCTGAGAGTACTCAGAAAGTTGAGTTCGCAGTATTTTTCATAATTTTTTTCTGAAAGGGAAAACTGAAGAAAAATAAATTTAAAAGTGAGAAAATGTGCCAACCAATTGTGCCAAAAAATGTGCCAAATTCACGCAGGTGGAATTTCCCATTTAAACACTTGTATTTTAGCAGATTGGGTTATTTTGTCATATTTCCTCCAATAATTATTTAATTTAGAAACCAAGAATATCCCCTTGCTCGGTTCTCTTAACAGTTTCATTTTAAACATAAAATTCACAAAATTTCAGACACCTGGAAATTCTCCATTCCTCGAATTTTCTGGTACTGGGTATTACGTGACACTATGGGTTATCATCACTAGGGTCCCGTTATCTCACCGGGCAAATTATTTGCGCAATCTAGGTGTGTTACATTTTACATATGGATTGAAATAATCAAGCTACGAGCCTTTCCCCCTTTTTTGAAGCCTTGAGGCCCGTTGATAAATACAATTTTTACCGTTTTGATTACAGGGGCTCCTTCATTCTTCCCCAGACCCCATTTAAATATTTGAATTTTGAGATCTTAGAGGCATATCCGTCATTTATGAGGCATGTAGAACCTTGCTATATAACACTAATGTTTAAATAGTGAGTTTTTAGGGACCCAAAGTTTAAATTTGCAAGCCCTGCGTCATTCATGGCATTAGCGGGTTTATACCTCACTCAGATTGCTTCTTATTCGTTTCGACCAGTTCGCCTTCAATATCTCGATAGGCAATAAGAGCGGCTTTGAGGCAGTTATAGTTGCTTGCAGCATTTCGGCCAGGTCCACTCGGTCTCTTCATAGCTGCAGTAGTTTAATTATCGACGGTGTAAACCGGTAATCACGTAACTCGGTTTGCGACGTCAGACTTCCTATAATACTTTATTTTTTAAACGGAAAACTACTCAACGGCAATTCTTTAAAACTGCCGTGATTTTTCCTCTCTGTGCGAAAAAAATTCTGCAAAAACTTTAAGGAATGATGTTAATGAGTTCTCCTTTGAAAAAATAACACGGAGACGGAGATTTTTAGACACCGCAAATAAGTTATGTGATTGTGGACTTACACCGTCGTTATGTTACTTTATGTTATTACCTATAGTTTGCTTGTTCTATTTACAATTTTTCTACTTTCCATGCTAGCCAAGCAGCACAAATGGCAATAAATTGCAATTACATTTGTGACCATCGGCTGTCTTTATCTTTTTTAATTAATTTAATTTTTTAATTAATTCAATGTCTCGCAAGCCCCGATGATACCTACGATACCTATAGCTCCATGAAAACCCCGATTTTGGTGAATTAATCAGAGAGCTTTACAGACATAAATGAGCACTCATAGTTGACTCTTAAGGGATTTAATTATTTCAGGTTGATCGTAGATCTTTATTTGAATGGTTAGCTGGAAAGTGATCTCTTATACATGCATTAGTCTGTTTTTGGGTCAAAATTTAAGGTGAAACCTCTCACTTTCTGTATATATGTACTCGAGATACCTCATTATCGATAAAAATTGTCAATTTGTTTGTATGTATGTTCAAAGAAAGAAAAAAACGAAAAATGGAGAAAGTATGGTGTTATATCATTCGTCTTAAAGCACTCTCACCTGGTCTGCCCGGACAAGCCTAGTTCAACGAGAGGTGAGCACAGGTGCACGCTTTTACTTTTCAAACAAAAAGCACAGCGAGAGGGCACACATGAGAACCACGATAGAGGAGATAAGCAGAGGTGAGCAAGCATATGAGAGAAAATCAATAATGCGGAAAGGGATCCTCTGAACAACTCATGTGCCGTCCACGTGTTTTATGAGTATACCAGTCCCTCTCCTGATCAAAACACGCAGAGGCCCCTTCTTCCTCACCTTCCCACCGAGTAAAAGTCCATAAAAATTAGATAATACCAATAGCCCTGTAACTAATTATAGCCTCATGGGCTTTATTTTGCCCTCTCGCATGAAGGATAGTCTCGCCCCTCCCCCCCAAAAAAAAGTCACGTTTATCTCAGTCATCAATGTAAAATGCGTTAACATTTCTCCCCTTGATATCACTTATCAAGCACCTTTAGAGCCCCTAAAGAAAATTACGCCAAGCTAACTGTGCATATCCCCTTTATTTTTTTTATTTTTTTTTTTTAAATTCACTAAGAATAAAACTATTATTTGGACTACATTTTGCAATTAGGAAATAAAAATTCTAGCCTGGTTTAAAAACAATGTATGTGCCATTAGTTTCCCTATGCCCACAAGTATTTTTTCAGAAGAGCCAGAATATATAGTTCCAAAATGCAAAATGCAGTCCATTTGTCCTCCTTTCTGTTACTTCTCAATATTAGAGTCATTTTTTCCAATTTGCCTATCATTTTTCATACGAAGGAGTAAATGAAATTCCTTTGATTTAAGTACGATTGTGAAACACAATATTCAATATATTGTAATCTCGTTTCTTTTTCGAATAATAATACCTCCATCTTAATCCATCTGTACAAAAAAAAAAGGAACAGGAAGATTGAAAAAATTGCCTTGGGCTCTAGGCCATTGAAAAATTGTGTTTTCATGAAGCACATTCTGTTATACGAATTGAAGCCTCTGATCAATGGAGGATGTAAGTATCATAACTATGAATATGATAAAAACGAATTTAAAGTTTATGCATCACTCAACTTTTATGGTTCATGGAAAGTTAAAACAAATGTCACATAGCTGAACACTGACTTTTCAAGGTTAATATTTCAATGGAAATTTCACTTTTAAACGAATGTTCAAAATTACCAACATATCAATTTTTCTTGCAATGAAAGGCTCTGAGGTAGAGGGATTACTAATTGTATTACATCGTTGCAAAGTCTCATTTGATAATTTATTCACCTACTTTAAAATGGTTCCTAACTTATTTTAGGCATTTACTTTGAGATACGACGAAAAATCCCTTTGACTAAAGAAGGAAAACAAGAACCTGGCATAATAATCAAGAAATAAATTACGAAAGAAATATGAAAATGCAATTGAGCCCCTTTGGCTCTCGTTCCCTAATCAGATTTCACTCATCAAAGGTTCCAATTTTACCCATTAATTTGGATGTGAAAAATGGAGGGGGAAGGGTCTGATTTTACGTGTACTCGTCGATGCGTTCAAGAACTCAGTGAGGTGCGTGTAAAAATACCGCTGCTGTGCAAACACTAGTGCTGTGGCAATGTAACTCTTGAAGGAGATTCCCTTACCTGCTAATCGGAGCGCGGACATTCTCTGGAACTCAGGTTCCTGGAGCCACTTCCACATGCGGCGAAAGGTCTCGCGACCCGACTTCAACTTTGACCACGGTTTGGGGTTCCTGAGCAGGTCGGACAGCGTGCCCTGCGACCGACACAGGACCCTCTGAGCGAAAATCGCTTGCGGAATGCTATACCTTTTTAGTTCGGCGCTGATCCGTTGGGCGAGTTCCTTGGTGTTGATCTCCTCTAGGTCGGAACCAGAGCCGGAGCCGGAGCCCATGCCGATGGAGCAGTTGTTGCTCTGGTTCACCTTGATCGAGATCGTCGTCGTGGCCGCGGAAGGCGGGGCCGTCTGGATCGTCTGCTGGATGATCTTGGGCGGCGACGGCGTGGACACCATGACGCCGTGCCCGGGGAGCTCCGGAGAGTGGTGCGGCCCCGGGGACACGACGACGGTGTGCGGGGTGATGGTCGTGAGTCCGTTGCTGAGCCCGAGCGTGTTCGGCGGCGAGTTGACGGAGGGCGATGCCGAGGGCGGACTCAGGGTGGGCGACGGGGCGACGACGAGCGCGCCCCGGGCCGAGTACGGCGAGTCGTAGCCGGTCGGCGAGAGGGACTTCTGCCCGGGGGAGTTGAGTCCGTTCTGGGAGTAGGTGCTCTGCGGGGAGAGCGGGGAGTGCTGCTGCGCCATGCCGATGGACGGCGAGTAGTGGTGCGTCGGCGACAGGGGCATCGAGGGCAGTTTGTCGTAGTAGGGCGAGGCGACCCCCATCCCGAGGCCCATGTTGTTGAGCCCGTTGTTCTGCATGACGGTGAAGCTCCCGGAGACGTTGCCGGTGTGGCCGTAGACGAACTTGTCGGACATGGTCGAGATCGGCGGCAGGGGCTGCAGCGGGGTGAGCGTGGCGTAGGAGGAGCTGGGGCTGTAGCCCGGCGGGGACATCCTGCCGTTGACGGAGGTGAGGGTCTGGTAGGTGGGCTCCGGGAGGGTGCGGAAGTCGGCCGTCTCGATCATGGCCGAGGGCGAGATCTTGCCCGGGCTCAGGAGCTCCGAGTCATGGGAGTCTTCTTGCGGCTGGACGATGACCGAGAGCGCCTCCTGCTTGACGACGAGGTCGCGGGTGATCTTCCCGCTCGGCGTCGAGCCGGGGGTCGGCGGGGAGCCGGGGGTGGGGGTGCCCTCTAGCGGCACCACGAAGTCATCGCTGTTGTTGGAGCAGGTCTCGGCGAGCGACTCATGGGAAGGAACTGAACTACTGGTGAGCATGGTCCGCGAAGTCGAGGCGAGAACGCTGCGCCCGCCGCCGCCGCCCGCGCCGCCACCCGCCACCGACACGGACAGCTTGACGGTGCAGGTCGTGTGCGCAGCCGCGGCGCCGCCGGACGAATCCACGCCGCCCGCCCGCGACCCATCGATGAGCGACTCTCGCGACATCTTCTGCTCGAGCTCGCCCATGCTTTCCATACGGCACTCGCAGGTGGGATCGATTACTCGCTCCGGGGAAACATGTCGGACGAAAAAGAATGCACTGGTCACTGGACTGGTCTGATTTTCACCTTGATTTGGCTCCACATCATAACGCGGGGTCAAAGTTGAGTCGGAAACGACGCCGGGGACCCGCGGATCCGAGCCCGAGCGAGGGCAAACGCGGATCAAGCGCACGCCATTGCCAGGCCGCCATGGCTACCCGATCCGAACGCCACCGCGAAACCAATATTCCGATCGATACGCCAACCAATAATTCCGCGGCGCCACTCTACAACCCTCTCTCGCACTCACGCCCGACGCGACAGCCGAAAATCCGACGCACTCACCGCAACTCGGAGAAAAATCCGCGAAAATAATCGATCCGGGGGAAAAAAATTAAAAATAAAAGTATGATCGCTGCGAGGGTTGTGGTGCAACTAAGTATTGATTCTTTCGCGTATTATCGCGGAGCAGCTGAGAAGGGTCGGCTCAGCTGGCATCCCCCCCACCCTAGGCGCTCACCCCTCGCGCGCCGACGGCCGCGGCGGGTAGCAGCTGTGGTGAAAATGGCTTCCATATCTATTACTCGCTCTTCAACCTTGCTCGATGTTTTATACCCTTATCCTAGAATTCCAGCCGTCAACACCACGCAATTTTGTACGATCAGTGATCCGGGGATGTGTGAGTCACGCGTAGCGCGGCCCACGCTGGATCCGATCGCCCGCGAATAAAACGCACTGATATTGATTCCGAGTAGTTTTCACCGAGTTTCCTCAAAATCAATAATATAATACCGGGGCACTCCGTTGGCCTTAGTCGGCGAGCGTCAAACTCTTCGTCACTTGTCACAATAGTGCACTCCCCGTGGTTTGCGAATTTTTTCGTCCGCTTTTCTCCAGTTTCTCTCCGGCAAAATCCGCGGTTTCGTGCCCGATTTCACCGAGTGGCGTTTCTCTTTAAGGCTCACTTCAGACTAAGCGTTACTGCTCTCGGCCTGCTTTCCCCCAATGGCGGACGGCTTCCCTTATGGACCCACTTTTCCACGGCTCGATTTCCTGACGCTAACCCTCCTTTTCAAAGCCTTTTTACTGCCTATCGAATTTTCTCTCGCGAAAAAACTGAAAATAAAAACTTTCAAATCGAATACTAAATGTATTAATTCGAAAAACCGAAAATGAATCAATTTAATAGTGGTGTATTTGTGATAACAAATTGTCAACATTTTCCCATCTTAATTTTGCAAAGTATTTTTGGTCACAGGATAAATATTGAGATCCTAAGGTAACTTCATCAGAGGTACAAGTATAAAAGTGTTTTAGCCTATCTTTAAAATCAACTCAAAATGTGTGTCAGATCATATCAGGTTCATCGATCGAAAGAGATCAATATTATTTATATATTTATTCTCTTCAGTGTGTAAAGCTATGCTTTCACGCAATCGTATTTTTCGGTTTAAATTTAAAAAAATTGGCGTTTGATTCGAAGAAAAACAGCCAGAAAGTGCATCGCAAGAGTCAGTTCATACTGAGTTTGCATATTCATGAAATAAATTATTTTAAAAAATTAAAGGCCAATACATGAGGTCATTTTGTGTTGAAAATCATAATCGACAAGAAAACAAAACGCTCAGCGTATCTAAAGAAATCAATTTTTCTGATAATTCCACCTTTTATGAGTTACAATGTAATCTCTATAATGCACCCCATTGGCATAATACATTACATATTTGCAAATATATGTTTGCCACTTATTAAAATTTGGAATCCATCCCTTTCGCTGTAAATTATTTTACCAATTCTTTTGATCTTCGACACATTTTTCTGTAAATAATATTCATTAATTGACGAGTTCATAATATTCCGATAAAGTTTGACCCCTAATGAAAGCTGTTGTAGTGCAACGCAATTCGATCGCTTATTATTCGTTTTTCAGTACTTTAAGAGAGTACATCTGCAAGAAAATCCCTTTTTGCATCATATTTGACTGGCATTTCTGAATATCATGATAAAAATGAACCATTTCAATCATGAAAGTACATTTTATACAAGTGCATTAATATGTTCAAAATTCAGTGTTAACGCGATACCAAATGTGCGGTTGCAAATTTTCTTATTCTATTATTTTCCTCTCTAGGTCACTTAAACAAAAATGGGGAAAAAAACCTAAATTCCAATGATGTTACTCTTTACTTTTGGGAACAGATGGTTCTAAGTGCTCTGTTTTTTTTTTTTTTTTTTTTTTTTTTTTTTTTTTTTTTTTTTGTGGTGTTTGATTATACTTGTCATTTGATGAGTGTTCTCTCAGTGGAAAATGTGCTCTCTCAGTGGAAAATGAATGTTGTTGTGAGCACTAGATGCTGAGTACTTACTATGTTCATTAAGCAAGAAGTTTCGTGATGATTTCTGCAGTTCACTTTGATCACACCAACCAATCATGTCACCTCTTAAATTTCTGATCTTACTATTGTAAGCCTCAGCTTTACATTGACACTTTGAAGACTGATTTTTGAAATAAATGTCAATCTTGGTCTTATCGCTTGGCATTTATAAATCAATCAGGTCAAAGAAAGTTTCATCGATTGATCATCAAATGATTAAGAATGCCTACTGAAGATCTGAAGTGAGGCAATCGTCCATTGAAGTATGTATTTTTCACTTGGGTAAGCAGCGGCCATAATCTGACTGAATGATGTGAGTATAAGTATCTCCATATTATCAATTATTTAATCTAAATTATTTTTGGGGAAAAAAATTCTACTATTTTGTGATTGGGCCCCTTGGAAAGAAATTACTTTGCCTGGGGAAAAATAGTACATGAATACCGCCTGATGAATCCTTCCCAAGACAAAGACGACCCAAGTAGCATTTTTTTAAGGGAAAAGTGACGATATTTTGATATGAAATTGCGATTTTTTTACAACTGTTTGGCGATAAAATCGCCAAAAAGCAGATCATCAACATCTGAGCGATTATCCTCATTCTTGTCACAGTTTTATCTCTATGAAATCTCGTCTAATAGTATCAACATTTTATTCCAATTTATCACGATTTTTGTTCAATAATATTTCGATAATTCGCCCACAACAAAATCGCGATTCCATAGCTTCATGCGATGAAATCGCAATTTTTATCCAATAGTATTGAAATGAATCGACGTCCATTAAATCGTGATACATTCTCGACAAAATCGCATCTTATCGCGATCACTGCTGGAGATAAGTCTGCCAGACCCTCTTAAACCTGTTTTGCAGACATTAATTTGATATTACTTGCTTTGGAGCGCTCTACTAAATAGTCAGAAATAGTTGTAGTTGATATCTTAAAAATGAAATATTCTGAACATGTTTTCACCTAAATGCTCCTAAATGCATGTAAGAGGTCATTCTAGGAAAGGTGAAAACAACTTTAGCGAATGATCTTATCTCATAAGAATGAGTAGGAGTGCGCTTGCCTTGCTAACCGACCACTTCGATGGTAGAAATTGGCAAGGGTTCTGCTGATCGGTCCGAATATTAAATTTTGGCTGCCTAGCTGAAGGCAACACCCAAAACACCGACGCAGCAGTTCTTTAACGGTGGGTATGTGCACTAGTGCAATGCCCGCTAACATTACTGTCATGTGCAGAAAATAGACTGAATTATACATATCGAATCCACACCAGAGAGATATTAAGAGGGTATAAATAAGGATAATGGGAAAGGGTAGGAGAGGATCCCAAAGACCCGTTTATGATCGGTGAAAAAACAATATCAAAACTCTGAGGCTGAATAATAGTAGACTGACATGACAGGTGACTCGTATCTGCGTGTAAAAATGCGTGCGGTTCATTTGGGCCGGTTGAGGCAAGAAGGAAGCAAATTTTATGGCTCATTTCAAAAACAATATCCCTGTTATGGATTTTCCTACGAAGCTAGCATCCTTATTATCGAGCCTTCGATTGGGTTTTTTTCTTTCTTCTTTGTTTTGATGTCATCCATTTTAACTTTTACAGAATATCTTTTCGCTGCAGAATATTCTTAACAACGAATGGACTCCATTTTGCAACGGAGAGTGGAGAGGAGAGCCAAGAAAAAAGCGGAACATTTTTTCACGCTGGAATAGCTAAAAGCGTAAAAGCCAACTAAATAGGTAATGAAATTTACAAGATGATTTCCTTATTTTACCATTGCTCGTTGGGTGTGCGGATAGAAGTTGATTCAAGTTTTAGGTTTTTTTCCGAAATAAAGGGACTCGCAAAATTTTGGCAGGTTTTCATTCAAGTTTGTAATTGCAGAGAAATTAATGACATTAAAAAAATGATAATAATAAAAATAAACTACCTGATGGTAATGACCATACAAATTATTTATTTGTTTTATTATAATTTGTCTCGTTCCAACTGCTAGGGAAATGCCCACATAATTTGAAAGTATCCAAAAAGCACCTCTCCAATTGTAACGTGCGATGCTAATAAAACGCCTTCAAATATGCGGTTATGCTATCCATGCGGCGTCTTCCCAATAAACGCAGATTGAGTTCCTCCTCGGTGTCCGACGGACAGCCTGTCCTTGTAGTTACACTGAAGCGTCGTATCAGGCGCTCCTCAAACACGCATGGATTTTTTGGTTCCTTGGATTCGATTCCATCGATTTTTAAGTTCATACCTTGTTTTGCTTCCCTCTATAGTCGCAATCGTAGTTGACTTACCACAAAATATAATGACAATATTGAAGAAATAGACTTCGTCTGCGGCAAGATGTTTCGTGAAGGTGGACGTTAACCGCAGGTAGCTTTTAGAAGTCATCTTTTAACCGATCGAATCTATTTCCAAATGTTTTCCTTCTTTAACGCTACTTTCGATCTTTGACAAAAAAGTTTACATTCTTGCAAAACATCACGAAAATTCAAATAAAAATGAAATAATCTCAAATTCCTAGATGCTCTGACATGGCTACAGGTACTTGCGCAGAAATTCAGGTCTCCTTGTGACCAGAATATAGAATCGGATGGACTAATAACAATCACCACCAAGAGTTTCTTACATACATTTCTACAGGGTGATCCAAGGTTAAACGGCCAGGCTGCAGAGCCGAAACACCCCCAAACCCCCTCTTTAAATTGAGATTTCGATTTTTTTAGATGATTTATGAATGCAGGTCATACAAGGACAATGAATACAGGGCAAGTACAGGGGAGTACACATTTTCATGAGATTTGGTCCACAACCGTTGCCACAATTCAGGACAAACCATTTACTTTCTCAAATTTTGGGGAGGCCGTAGATCCGACTCTGGGCACTTTTCGAGAAAAAAAACTTTATGCAACAGAAAAGTCCTATTTCGACCCATAGAACACGCTCCTGGAGTCTGGCCGTTTAACCCTGGATCACCCTGTATACAGGGTGTCCCAAACCGCACCCGTGCCAGTCTTTTCCTTCGGTTAATTTTTGTCGAAGAAAGTCAACGACCGTGGGGGGAAAAATAGAAAATCGAGCTCAAGGCATCTGAATTCCTTCATCCCGAAGCCTCCCCCCTCCCCGCGACTCCCCTTCAAAGCTGAAAGAGATGTCTTGACTTTGCGAATCTGAGTTTCCGTCACAATTTTTATATTAATTTATCGGAATTAGAAAGTACGGAAATTCGTCTATTTTTCATCATCCGAACAATTCCCGAGAGTGCTTTGGATTATTGTCAATTTCGCGAAGATCGGAGGATTTTTTTATTCAAATTTTCCGCTTAGACGTTGGTAATAGTATCCTTTCTCACATCCTCAATTTTTTACACTACACGGAGAAAAACAATGGTTATTTTACGGTTACCACGGTAGTAATTTCACATGGGGGTTCCAAGGTATAGCAGAACCGTGGGTTTTGATTATTGTAATAATGAGCGCGGTGATGTTACCGGGTCCATCGTGACATACTGTCAGCATATTAATGCTACTCTGAGAATGGTTATGCTACTATGCTCATCAATAATCTTACGAAATTCACAGTTCTACTGCCATGGAATCTCGTGTGACA